CATCCTGAGTGTCCAGCCTGGGACTGTTCTTTTTTAACCTGGGATGAACTTCACTTACATATGGAAATATCTAAATACCAACTAGATTCAGACCTTCCATGTGACTGAATTTCTTTGCAGTCTCAGATTGTTATAATAGAAAGTAAAGGGATGAATAAACACGACAGATTTTTTTTTCTTTCAAAGATTTCACTATAGCTGCTTTCCATAGTGTTTTGGCAAATAGGCCAGTTTTAGTATGGAAATTACAGCAAAATTGTTAAGGTGTGCATAATGATAGCCATGTGGTTGAAAATAAAATGTTAAGAGAAACTCCTACTCCATATAGCATTTTGCTGAATTTGAAGAAGCACAAATAAGATTATACTCTAGTTTTGCTAGGCATGTACTGAGTGTAACACTAAATATTGAGTTGATCAATGTAAGTGCTAGGAATGAAATCAAAAGAGAAATTGGGTTCATTATTCAGCTCAATCTTACAAGTTTGAAGCTATAAATTATAGGTTGCATGCCTTATGTGCAAGCATAATTTATTTATCCATTTATTAATTCAATGAGTAGTAATTAAGCTTTCCCTAAGCACCAGGCAAGGGAGCTAGCTAGGCATTGAGGTTTTAGGTAAGCAGAGAAATTAAAAAGCCCACCATCATTGAATTAATAATAAATGAAACAGTTAGAGAGTCATTAATGACCACAAGAAAACTAAGCAGGGCATTGTGAAGGAAATTAAGGGGAGGAGTTAATTTAGATCAAACAGACAGATTAGATGGGGGGAGGATTGCACTTAAGAGTCTATTATAGACCAGATGGAAGATCATGGCGGATTGGACTGGTGCAGTAGCTCTCTCTCAGAGGAGATTTTGTTTATCAAAAGACATTTGACAATGTCTGCAGACATTTTTGGTTGTCACACCTTGGGAGGAAGGTATTACTGACATCTAGTGGACAGAGTCCAAGGAAGTTGCTAAACATCCTGCAATGAATAGGACTGTCTCCATCAAAAATAATTTGCTATCTCAAGATAGCAAAAGCTTTTAGGTTGAGAAATCCCAGGGTTGTATGATATCAGAAGAGCTGTAAAAAAAAAAATAGATTAAAGACACAGAAGTAAAACAATTAGTATATGAAAATAAACTGATATAGGCATGGGAAAGAAGTAAGAGAAAAATCAAGGATGACCTCCTGAGTTTCCAGTTTTAATAGGTGGAAAGAAGGTGGTTCTCATATTAAAATGAGAAAATGTGGAAAAGGATCCAGTGTGGGGTCAATGATATAGTATGGAATCAAGAGTTTGAGATGTTGACTCACTTAGAAATGGTAATTAGAGTTGGCTATATGAATCTGGAGCTCAGAGGCAAGATCTGAGCAAAAGACAAAATTTGAGGATCATTGGCTTAAAGGTAATATTTAATGTCATAGAAATATGTGACATCACCTGGTGAAAAAAGTATGAAGTTATGAAGTAGCCAAGAACTGAGGATTTTGGTCCTAAATCAAGCCACACATTCCCATCAGCCTGTCAAAACCACTTGATCTTTTGATTTCAATGCTCTGGGTAACATTATAAGTATGCTCAAATATATTCACAACAAAAAACACAGAATAACATTTAGATTCCTTAGTTTACTCTAAGCTTTTTTTCCTTATGTCTAGTGGTCTTTTAAAAATTAGTAATTTTGTATGGATTAGTATCTAAGTAATGCCATCAGCTCTCACAGAAAGCACAATGCTGCCTGTTATTGTACTGCTTTATTATTAACCACAATGCATCAATTTAAGCTTAAGATTTGGGGATTGGAAAAAAAGACCACGTGTATTCAATTAGACATTTTTATTCTTAAGAGGGCACTATAAAATCCTGTGACTCCAGAGTGATTACCAGAGTCATTTGGGGCAAAATAAATAAATAAATAACTGGATGCATAGAGGCACAAAATACAGACCTTCTAAAAAGCACAAAACAAATCAGCAGCAGCTGCTGATCACTCATGAGTAACCCAACACCATGAGCCTGTGTCCATGGGCAATGGAGGGAAGCATTTTAACAAGGAAATAAATTTCATTTTCAAGCTTTACAGAATTTTACAGAGGACACAGTAAAGTAACTTATGTGTGCCATTTATTCTTCAAGAAACTTGCTTTAGGAAATGCAATCTCTCTAATATTCCTAACTACCAAAATGAACTGTTTACTCAGACCAAATGTAACACAGGTTAAAAAGTAGTGAAATTCCTTAAATAGTATTGGACCAAATGGACTATATTGCTAATTGCATCAGTATTTTAATTTCCTTTCCACCAAACAAACTATTTTACTGCCTGAAATTGGGGGCATATTGAAAGTAAAAATGTATGCATGGATTCATTTAACCAGAAAAGCAATGGCCACAAGCTAACACACACTGAGTAACAAGGGTTTTGGGACATATTTCATATGCTTTAGCTCATATAATCCTCCAAGGGCCCTAAAGTGTTATTATTCTTTTCATTTTACAGATGAGGGTATGAAGTCCTAGAAAGTTTATTAGTCAGTTTAGAATAGGTCATCCTGCAGTAACAAGCATCTCAATATTGTAGTCGATTAACATTTAAATTTGAGTTGGGACTGATTTGTCACCAGTGTGTTGCTAATCTGCTAACTATTCAGAGCAACTTTTTTACTAAGGTAACTTGGGGATCCAGGCTGCTTCCATCTCAGCTTTTAGAACTTGTGGCTTTCAGAGCTACTCTGGCAGGAAAAGAGCAACTTGGATGGTGATGCAGGATCTGTTCACTACCTTTCTTTTCACCTGAAAGGGGTACATTTCCACTCACATTTCATTGGCCAAAAATTGTCACATGCTTCTCCTTAACAGAAAAGGTATAGGTTTTCATGTGCCAGAGAAGGAGAAGATTAGATACAGGTAACCACTAGCAACCTACTACAGAGACATAAAGTAATTTAACCAAGGCTAAAAACCCAGAGATTGGTAAAATCAGGATTTAAACCATTTAAGAGCTAACTTAATTCTAGATCTTGGATCTTCAGTCTCTAGGCATGAAATATCAACTATGGATTGGTCCTGATTGTACCAAGAAAAAAATAGATGACTAATATGTTTAACACAAATCTGTAGGTTTAAAAGTAAACCCTCTCTGTTTTTAACATTTATTCTTACTTTTAAAGAAATACTTATCAGTCAATTATAAACTACCCATTCTTTGAGTTTTGAGGCATCACTTCCTCAACAAGGCCTTCCCAAACTCCTAATTTAGGTCAGATTCCTTCTTTTCTTTACATTCATGGTACCATTTTGTGAAATTCATCACCTTCTTTGATGCCTGTGAGTTTTATAGTAGCAGCAACTATATCCCTGCTGTGTCTCCAGGGCTTAACATAATGCCTTACACACAGTTGCTCCCAATAAATATGCATAAATTGAATAGACAAACAAATGAGTGAATAAAAAGTATGACTATTTCTGAAGCAGGTCATGCCAGTGTTTGACACTCTCTGGTCTTAGAAACTCTCCCCTAAATGAAGTGAAATTCACTCTTCTACAACTTTCACCCAACATTCTTATTTTTCTTATTCTCATGTAATTAACAGTGAGTAAGTCTACTTTGTTTTAACACAAGAGCTCTTCAAATTTCTGAAGATAACCAGCATATATCCTTAGTTCTTCTTGGTTTCTTCAAACTTTCCACCCAAAATGCACTCCTAAATTTATATCAATTCTTCTTATGTGCAAGTATGTTCTGTTTTGTCAACTCTCATCGCAAAGTGCCCCGAAGTGGGCACACTACTTTGAGGTGTAAACTGACTAGCTTTCAGCAGTGGGTTCTAACCTCCCTTGGAGGATGGATGGTGCATTTTTCTCACTACAGGGTCTTCAGTGAAAAGTATAGTGTCAGTCACCACATACAAGATACTCCAGTGGGTATTTGTTGAATGAATGAATACACGTTAAGACACATTAAATTTCTTTTTGAATCGTTTCCCATTCTAGGCCCATATAACTGTGGACGTTTTTTAAAAAATATGGATTGACCCAGTTTAGGTCAGTTCTCCAAAATTCATACTTAGAAAAAAAAATCTCCATGAGATGTTAATACAGAACCAGCAAACATTTAATAGAACATTCCCCACAAAACTCGAAGGAAATTAAGCCAACATGATCAAATGCTGATTTCCCCAGGGAAGTGTCCTTGTCCTTCTACGGAGAAATAGTCTCCAAACCTACATTGTTAAAATAGCCTATCGTCCAGTGTCCAAACGTGACAGTTAAAAGAAATCAAGAAAAGCAGCGGCGCTGGAGGCTGCCTCTTTTTTTCTGCGTGTGTGAATGGAAGCAATTTACAAGACATTATCTCGGGTCCAAATAGGAAGGAAGCCACTAGAATCTTAGAGTACTGAAAATTTCTCACTCTCCTCCTCCTGCTCCTTCTCTTGTCTTTATCCTTATCAGAGTTAAAACAGAACCTCCGATATTCTCTGAAATATTGCCGCGCAAGGAGACCATCTTCCATCAAATGCTGGGACAAGTCCTAGCTGGCGGTCTGTAAGACCTCCTCACTGGCCGCACAGGGTACAATACCAAGGAGCCTTCCCGGCCACCCGGCGGATGGCAGAGGCTGCCTCTGCTCGGACCGGTCGTTTACATTTGATCTGTCTTGAGAATGCCACACTCAAGCGACTTCCCAGCAGCAGAGCGCAAAGTTGAGGGAGAGGGAGAATGAGCGCGCGTGTTTGTGTGTGTGTGTGCGCGCGCGCGCGTGTGTTTCTTGATCAGTGGGGTTGGGGGCGGGCAGTAAATAAAGGGTGGGGCCAGCGCGGGGAGGAGGAAAGCAAGGATTGCGAGAAGCAAGAGTGTGGTTCCAGTTAACCTACTGGAGCTCATCAGGCTTGCTCAGAGTCCCTGCACCAACTCACCCAGTACCCTCTCTTCTTGGTTCGCGTCTTTCCCCTGCTCCCCTCCT